TCTGCTCGATACCGGTAATATTCCACGTGCCGGTAACAGTGTTCAGAGTCAGATTCGTTGGAGTCGTTGGCCCACGCTGGAGCGCGCCGCTCTCAACGTATCCGCCCGCTGCCACAACCGAGCCATTAGTCCTCGCCAGGTGGTTAGCGCCCGCCTTGACAGTGAAGTTGGCGAGACTAATGTCGAAAGGGTTGCGAGAAGCGACTGAAGGAGAGCCTTCAAAGGATTAGCAAAGAGTGATGATTAAGACGAACAGAGATTGACAACACGACTTACCGTAGTACTGCGCGTTGAGCTCTTCAGGCGAGATGAAAAGTTCATAGTATCCTCGGTAGTAACCCTCTGTCCACTGAAGCTCCCTGTTGTCACGAACGAGCGCTGCAGAGCGGTCGGTCGAATTCGCAATCGATCTACCAGAGCCGTAACCGCTAGAGGAGACAGCAGTGCCAGCAAACTCGACTCCAATCGCACCCTCTCCCGTAGCCTGGTCGTATGGGGTTTCGTCCAGCCAAACGAGATCAGAAACCCAGTTGGCGTGTGAATCGCCGGCCAAGAATGCAGTGTTTGGGATCTTGTTACTGTAGAGATGGTGTAGAGTACGGTTACGGTTTGCGGTGTAGCCCTCGTCAAAGTCAGCAGCGCTTCCTGGGCATCGTGCAAATCCGATACTTACATCCCACTGGTCAGCATTCAGCCAGTCGCTGTAGACCGCACTATTGTTCATGCGCGAAAAGATGATCTGGTTACCGACAATCCTCCAAGTAGCGCCTCGTTCATGTGACTCGGAGAGCCGGTTGTAGAACCAGTTTTCCTGGCGGCTGCCCATGAGTGAGCGACTAGCGTCATCTCTGATTGTTTCTATATACGCGTCATTCTCATCCAGGGTTGTAATTGATCGATCATAGTTGCGGGTATCAAGGATGATGAGATCGAAGAGCTTGCCCATCTTGAAGTTGCGCCAGATGCGGAGGTTGTCATCAAGATCGACCTGGCGGATCCTATTTTCCTTGTTGGTTATATTAAAAGATATTATATTATGAGACTTACGGCATCCATTCAAAGTATGCTCGAACAGCGTTCATTTTTCTGGAGTCGACGCTGATACCTCCGTACTTCAAGAAGCTCTCTTCGGTATTGTTCATATTGCTACCTGTATTAGTAAATACTCTGAGGCAAACGGAAGTCTCTCACCTAAACCCATCACGGTATCCGTTGTTGGCAATTTCTTGAAAATTGTCAGATGATTACAGTTCACAGAGCAATTTGACATACCATGGTCGTCCCATGTGGGGATCCATGCAAAGTTCTGGTGGGCAAGCTTCAAGTCATCATCCGTACGGTACTGGCCAATTCTAGTTCGGTAGTCTATTAAATGTATTAGTTACGATCAATACTTGGCAAAGTATGGGTACTTACCGTATAGTGTGACAATCTCGCGTGGCGGATTCGTTGCTCTAGGATCTTTACCGAGCTTTCCTTTGGTAGACTCGTATATATAATCGCCCAGATGAACCTTGAATTTTGCATCAGCCAGGTTTACATGAGAAGTGTTCGGTGAGTCCTACAAAGAAGTCCACATTGTCCTTTCTTGCAGCATTTCCATAAGCATTGAAATATCCGTTCTGCCAGTTGGAGCAAGAAAAGACTGCAAAACCGACTTTGGAAACATCGTCGTCATGATCAGGGCTAGTCTTGGTTCTGCCTAGAGGACTTTTGTTGGAGCTGCCGCAGACACTGAATTGATAGTAGTACTGGGTGAATGGCTCCAAGTTCTTGGCTTCAACCTTTGTGGAGTTAGCTTCCTTCTTAACTGGAGTGGCGCAAGAGAATAACCTTGACAGTGTAGTCGATGTCGGAGGTGGTGTATGCTTGTCCTTCATCAACAACAGTTGAGAGGTCGCTGTCTGTACCAACACGATAGTCGACGCAGATGGGATTTGGCGAAGCTTGGATGTACTTTTCTGTCTCGTGGTTGTAGAGTGCTACGTAGCCAGAAACAGTAACGTTTGATCTGTCATGTTCGAGCGAGGGTGCAATACGGGTCCAGAGGATGACGGAGTCAGGGTAGGGATCTCCAGAGGCAACACCATGTGTGAAGTTGAGCTGGGCCGGGTCCCATGGAGCAGAGCGTTTGGAAAGAGTTCTCTTTGCGACTTTGGGTACATCTATTCCAAGATCATTGTGCCGACGAGAAGGCGAGTGGTAGTTCAAGTTGCCGTCGAAGGATGCACAAACGAGCGAAGCCAACGGAACGACCGCAAGTAGGAGCGAGAGCATCTTGTGAACTTGAGGAGTTTGTTTTCTCCGACTGGTTTGAAAGAACACCGGGTATCAAAGCGTTTATAAACAGTGGTTGGCCTTTGACGTCTTCGATATGTGCATGCTTGTATGCACGGTTTAGTCCTCATAGACATGTATGACGATACGCTAAGCTCCACACGTTCACGTTGTACATTCAACAAGACCATGGCACCGCAGAAGGCCAATCATACATGACGTATTTCCAGCGTGAAATCCGGTGCCTGTTGATCGCAATTGCACATGTTGCAATGTGAGACTCTGATTAGTTGAATGCGCCATGACCCTATCAAATGGTCTAGCGTGTCATTGACATCCCGCATGTCTTCACCTTTCCAGCAATGCTGCAACACACTCAAAGGGGCAAGTCGAATTTACGAGTCGCAAGCTTATAGGCACACGTTAGCGATGACGGGCGGGCTAAATGCAAGTATGCTTCTCCCCACGCACGTGTAGGCTAAACGGAGCTTGATTGGCGCTGCTACGTAAGTATTATTGTGGGGTAATCCCAGGAGTATTTCTCATCCATACTGCTGCCATATCTACCTCGCTTCTTGTTACACTGGCTTGCGCAATCGGCTTCCGCTACTTACGCGATATGCACGTAGCATCTGGCAAGGGTCTCCTGAACCGCCAAGTCTGTACTTTACTTACCAAAATAAGCTCGGTCTACTCCTAGGAATCACCAACAGTCGAACCTTACAAAAGCACCACAAACCCAAGCCACATTGCTCAGTTACTTACTCGCTTGGCTACTTGCTAGTATGAACATGCCCGCTGTACGCCATATACTGTGATCTGGACGCTCCGTCAGTAGACTATATTGCTCTCCAAGATGTTTTCTCACACTCTCATTCTATGAACGGAATATGGTGAGCGAGGATTATCCACTGCCAAGTTAGGGGAACAATCCATACTTGAGATGCATGTACCATGAAGCTCAATAATGTCATCTTGAAATGCACATAGTCAAGTAGCAACTAAAGTCTATTTATCTCAAGAAACAATTCACTTAGACTCTTTTTTCATGTCTGAAAACAATAGATTGATTGTTTATGCTTTCTGGTGTTCTCTATTGGTGAATCAGCATGGGCATTTCAAACAACTACTTGTCTGTCAGCAGCCTCAAGACCTGCTCGTGGCTTTGAGATGAAGCTACAGAAAGTACATTCTCGTAGTATCCAACGAAACAAGGGTCACTTTCTCAAGCTACAAGACGGTAAAACAAGACTATGGGGAACATCAAGTTCTCGGCATCACAATAGATGACCGCACATTAAAGCAGGAAGTATGGTCCTTTTGGTCGTCACCAACATAGTCAAGTTAACTAATAAGCGCAGAAGGCGAAGTGCATGTCTTGTACTTCCTTAGTTGCAGCCTAAAGTGTTGTAGCTATGCTCTGCAGAAAAGCCACAAAAGTCGTCGTTTGTGCTGTCATCTCTTCAGTCCTCTGCTTCACTGTCATGACCTCTCTTCCCAACATCCAATGGCTACTCCAACCTAGACAGATAGGGCGAGGCTAATCCTGGATGGGTCTCGCCATTCCCGAGTCTTTCACGACAAAGGAACGATGTATTGGGAAACTAAATACATCTTCAAAAAACAAATTATCAATTAAAGACGGGTGGTAATTGGAGGGTGCGCCATTCCTGCCAATTCGACTTGCTCCCTCTGGTCCACCATAGCGTAACCCCCGAATCCCCATTGTTAGATACGAACAAATCGACAGCTCTAGAACCTGTTCGAGTCACAGCCGTTACATCTACCGATCCAAGAAATTTCTGCGTTCCTACTGGTTGCGAGATGCACCATTCGGCTGGTAATCCAGAACGCCAGCACGTATGTACGGAACCATCAGAACCATGGACAAAGAGTTGGAGATTCTCAGACGAGAGCTTGATGACAGTGACTTTAGATTCAGCCCTGATACCTGCGTGAAGCGGTATCTGATCCCAGACGCGCTTCCAACCTGAGCTTACTGTCCAGTTGGTGGTATATGCTTGCCCATTCGGCTTGCGAGCAAATACTTCAATGGTATTCACATTTGGGACGATAGCTGATATTTCGGTCTTATTCGAAAATTGCCGACCGATTAACTGCCAGTCAGTCCAGCCATTGCCACCGTTCCATCCCAGCGTTTTGACGTTGCCATCTGCGTCACAAACAAAGAGATCCATGTTCTGTTGAGTTCTCGCAATGACTGTTATGTGTGCTCCAACCGGAAAACCGTGAGCATCCTTGGGTAGCGATTTCCCATAAGTGTCCTTTGACCATCCTTTTCCTTTTGTCCATTGCAGTGCGCTAATATGCCCGTCTTCTGAATAAGAAAACAAATCCAGAACGTCTTTGCCACGTGAGATTACGGCTACTTCGGCACCTCCATTAAATCCCTCCCACACCTTTTCCCAGGGTGACCATATGGTCCACTGGAATAAAGGAATGATAAATTCTGGGACATACCACCGCTTATTAAAGATGTTGCCATGGATGTTGCAAGCAAAGATATCCAACTTTTCTGCATCCTTTGACACTGCTGTTATTTTGGCACCGGGAGCAAAATCACCGCCGAGCTGGCCCGGATTCGACCAATCTCTGTCCTGCAACCACCATAGGTTATGAACACGTCCATCTGGTCCACATAAGAATAAATCGATTTGCTCTGTCTTACGAGACAAGGCAGTGATGCAAAATCGTTTACTTGCGTCTTGAACTGTCTCTTCCACTGTGCACGCTCTTGCTACGTTCGCTGGCGGAATGACTGATAGCACTTCCTTCCCATATGCCGCCGCCGCTGCTGCCGCACATGCCTGCCACTGATCGTTCTTATGCGAGTCAGCATAATCGGAGATCCCTCGGATTACTAGACATGGGAAGTTGTTTACTAGGCCTGCCGCTTCCATCTCAAAGCAAAGCACGCCGCCAAGCTTTGCGCTGACTGAGTCTCTTTCCACTGCATTCTTCATAACCTGGTTGCCTGATGCGATCGTCCCATAGTGTATTACTACCTCGTCGTCGCTGTTACGCGCCTTCCGCACCTCTTGTCTCTCTTTCTTACAATTGTCGCACGTAGGCCCGCCTTCGTGATCGTACGTCGCCTTGAAGAGGATATCAGCCCCGGCCTTTTCGCGCTGAAACTCGGGCACATGGTTAAGCTTAGCGGTGTACTCAGCAACCTTGCTTCGTCCCCGGATCTTATTCGCTTGCACGCTGCCTAGTGCAGCAAGCAGGATGTGCGGTGGTGAGTTGAGCGACCCTGTCCTCTCAAACCCATTTGGAGTAGCTTTGCCAGAGTCGTACTGTACAACGCCGCCAAATGTTTTGCCTGGTTTACTCACTACCACATCCCCTAGGCGGATGTCTGCTTCTGCGCTTGGCATGCCTCCGCCAATGCCCACCATGAGACCAAAGCGTATACCTTTGAAGGCAGCCTTCATTTGCGTCGCCACAGCGGCCGCAGGATTGTTCCCGATGCGCCCGACTGGCAGACACACGATCACGACGTTATGTCCGGCCACCGAGCCAAGGGAGTATATGTTCTCATCGTGAGGATCTTGGTCGAGGGCTGCGTGTTCTTCGTCGAGCATCTCTAGCGCCGCAGCCAGCTCGACCGGGATGGCGCACACCCATCCCACAGTGTAGTCTTCGCGGCATAATTGACGTGACATTCAGGACGCATGCGTAGGGGAAAGGAGCCTTTTAGCAGTCAATGTATGTAGGAAGAGAATTGATCATCGTCGGACAGCAGGAACAGAGGTATCAACAGTTGCTGTTGCTCAGCCTCAGCCTTGTGGCCAGCACTACAGCCTGTGGCCTCTTGTGGACTTAGTGGGCTGTACTATTAGGGGGCTTTCGCAAGGCTGACTCTGGAAAAATGCCGACTTGGCACGGCGCTAATCCTTACAATATTGAAAGCTATGTGCTAGAAAGAACCGCAAGCCAATTTTGCAAGCGAGTGTATATCCGAAGGAATCAAGGCATCAACAACAGACCAATGCGAATGCGGCCAGGCAGCAGAGACGGTGGAGCATTTTCTGTTCCGTTGCCGAAAGTGGACGACACAA